GGGGTCCACCCCGGCAGCGACGCGGGCGCCTCTCCCTGAGGACAAGGTCAAGGATGAAGGGTCAATGTCAAGTTGTCTTAACGGTGGAAGGCGACCGGCCACGGCAGCACCCCCGCTTCCCGCGTTTCTGGTGTCCTTGATTGATTTGAAAGTGCCATTTTGAGGGGGAAACGCACCCAGCCACCGAGAGGACGCGAGGGCTTCGCTTCTCCTTCAAGGGGCGACGAAGGGACGATGGTACCGTACGGAGATCTCACTGCCATTCTGCCTAACAGCATTTAGTGTCTTAAAACTGCTTTAACGGCCGGATTGCTTTAAGTTTCAGGGACCCTCGGACGGCTGAATTCTGCCAAAGCCAACCCTCCGAGAGGTAAGATGCAATGTCATGGCTCCCTGATAAGCACACGTAGCCTATCGGTCGCAGAGGCAAATCCGCTCGTCTGTTTTCTGCGTGGACGCTACGGGAAAGTGAATTTGAATGTAAACACGCGTGAGGCAGCTCGGGGAGGTGCGTTAGCCAGGGAACCTGTCCGGCGCTGGCACCGGCTCCTCCGGCTCTGCCCTGCGGGGGAACCTGCCGCTGGCAGCCGGGCAGGGGCGGGGGGCGGCCGGGGCCTGGCTCACAGCCACAGAACCGGCTTCACAGGGATGAACCCGCAACCCGGGCGGCTGAAGGAAGTCAGCGTGGCTTCTGCGTCTGCCTCTCCTTTCAACTTCGGTTGCTTCTTGCTTCGCAGTTGCATTTTCCTGTACCGGTCCCCCCCAGCCGCCCTTGTTTGTGCGAGCACAAAGGTGACAAGCGGTGAACCGCCTACACCCGGGGGCGGGGGAGCAGCCACCCTCAGGCTGCCGGCTGACCCCCGCTCGCCCCCCACTAAAGGGGAAAAAAGCGCGCATTTTTAAGGGCCTCATTATGGTAATTCTCAGCCAGAAGTAATAGCGCAAACAGTTTTGTAAAGAAAAATACGAATGACAATTTCCCCCAATGTTAACTCCAGAAATGTATGCATAGAAATGACATCCACGTATTCAAATAGAGTTGCTTTTCTGCATCAGGAAGGAATTCATATGCAAAACTTCGAACATTCAGTCCGACGGCTTATAAGTGACTTATTTCCTGACTAATCAGTGCCAAAAATCCGCAGGCTTTGGTAGTGGTACTTGTTGCTTACTTACCACAGAACTAGACCTGCAAGTCTTACAACAGTCGTCCCCCCCCTTTTTTTTTCTTTGTTTTACAGTTCAGAATAACCCTCCCATCTTCTGTTAATCATGCCACATAACAAAAATAATTAAGTAAAGTGTAGCTGGGGTGCTGCAGGCCTCCTGCAAGCAAAGCTGCCTGGCCAGAAGACACCGTCAAACCTCCTTCACCGTGTGGGTCTGTCCAAAATCTTTTGCAGAATGCAGCACGTTAATCCTAACCAGTTCCCCTCGAGAATGATACAGATACTCCCCCTGCAACGGAAAGAGTTACCCTAGTTGGCTCTAAAAGCAGCAGCCAAAACACCTCCTGGAGAGAAATATTCTCGCTGGGCGTTGCAAGGAGTAAAGTAAGCCGGTGTCCCCCCGGCTCTCTAATTTGTCTGACACTCGTGGGAGGAAAAAAGCCACCTCGAGTGGCTGGGAGTGAGAAGGAGAATAGAAACTTTCACTGTGACTTGAATGTGAACTTCCTGCGACGTGGGGCACGTGCAGCTTTTCACCTTTTCTTCACGTTCTGGATCAAATCCTTCCTGTTTTGATCTAATAGAGATATCATTATTTAAAACATGACTGTAATAGAGGTGAACGCCGTGTAACTAACCTTGACAACATACCTATAGCTTCGGTTCGTGCCAGGAATTAATTGGCTTTAATCCAACTGCTAAAACTCGCTTTTCAGCCTTTAATATAGATACTCTCTAGTAATGCGTGGGTGGATTTGTTTGTAATTTAGCATAGGCTGTCCCTGGCATGGCACCATGCCTCGTACCTAGTACAGACCTGTCTGTAACACCGGACTGGGGAAAAAACCAGGGCAGCTGTGAGGGCAGTGACTTTGCCGTCCCTCCGCTCGGTGGCGGGGAGTTCGAATTGTGAAGCCGACCTCCGCGGGCAATAAAAAATTTAACCTCTTGGCAAAGCCTGCCGACATGAACTAGAGCGGGAACGCGATAAAGTACAAAATCCAACTTCGCTTTGCGTCGTAAGCGGCGTTTTAGCGTGGCCTCAATCCGCCTGGAGACCCTGCGCCACCCCG